ACTAGAAATGAAAAGTGATAATTCCATGTAATGGCGGCCATTTTAAAAAATGGCTGCCATGGCAACCATCTTGGCATATATAAAATGGGTCCCATGCCCAAAATGTTTCGTTTGCCTTTATTAACATCTGTGCCAAGTTTCATGCTTTTCCATTTTCTGAAGTATTTTAGCATATTTTGTTACAAATTGACTGGACTAATATACAACAATGCAACGAATTCGTTTAGATAGTTATCTCAACAAATACCGAAAATCTGTGGCGGCATGGCCGAGTGGTTAATGCATCTGATTAGTAATCTAGGCATCAATAGCCACTTGGATTCAAACCGCGTCAGCGGCCTTGACCAAGAAACTTTCCATTCATTGCTTAGTACTGGTTGGTGCCAGGAATGGATTCGAGAGTGTGACTAAAGTGACAACTTCCTTCACAGTCGAGCTAAAATAAATTCTGTATAAACTAACTGAAAATGTAAGGTGTCTTTCGTAGCTTTTGTTGCTTAGTACCATTGAATACAACAATATTAAGTTTGAAAACTGAGTAGGTCCTACTTCTGACGTGAAAAGGTTGTGGAACCGTGAGCTGATACTGATATATTTACAACATAAACATGATAAAATTTAGAATTTGATTCCACTGAAATACGCATGTTTCAACATTTCAATTTTATCTTAAGATAATTTATAGATAAACATTTGTTTTTTTAAACTTTGACTTCTTATTCAATGCCACTAAGAAAGATATTATCATAGCGTTCCTTTGGACTGTACTTAAGAATTTGTAAGAATAGGCCAGCAAGAAAAGTTGTAGAATGTAGAAAAAAATTGATAAGTTGATTTTATATTATCTCTAATAACCATAGTATGGGGTCGCAGTTTTATTCAGAACTTGTCCGAATCGGTTCACCACCGTGATAACTGTTTTCAACGACTGAATGGAACGTTACTCTCAAATTGTAGTGTCAAAACAGATATTTAGGCTTCGCAAATTTTGACTAGCTTCATATGTGCAATGTCGTCGGCGTGTAACAAAAGAGGTTTCTTTTTGACAACCTATGCCAAATACTTATAACCTCGGAAATATGAAAATTCACATTTTTTAGAAATAATTGTTTGCCACGACGTATAACCCCTACATCATGACCGTTCGGCATGTGATCCAGCTTATAGATCGCAGGGTCACAATATTATGACCGGGGTGTCAACATTCTTTAAAAGATATAGACTGGTCACACCCAAAACAGCATTCTTAGAAAATCATGTGACTAGATGCGCAGACAATTTCAGATATGTTATCAATTTCAACCAAACAACAGATTTTTTTTCAAAACATTTATTGAAATTTATCATGATAATAGATACTGAGAGAATTGAGGTAGTTAAAACATCAGAAACTTTTGCAAACATAACAGTACACTCGTATATCACTCGTATATCACCATTCTGATTGGTTGTTTCTTTAATGATGGAACAAATGCTATTCATATGCAAAAATTATACTTTGTTTTATTCTATTTAAACAGATCATTAATGAAGTAATTTTATCTAAACTAATACTAATGACATTTTGTATCAACCCAGCTTTACTCAATACGAAATTTCTGGTAAATATTTTTCTTGTCCTTTTTATCTTGATAATGAACCGGAAGATCAACAAACCCTTAAACAATCATGACAGATGTTGATTTTGCATGTATAGGAGAACATGACTTGTCTATCTTCAGGTAGTACATGTTTTATGTAAAACTATGAGAAGTGAAACAAGAGCACCGCAAAAAGCGAGGCAATGTACGCCCGAATGTAAATTTGTTTGAGTAATCAAAAATGATCTTTCAATTAGGATGGAGACCCAATCAAGAAACTTGTCTGAAAAATGTTTCATCTGTTACTAAATGACCTCCAATGTGGAGGCATTATTTACATGATTCATAAAAATTAAATAGAGGTATACAAGATAAGGATATTTGCCAATTATAGAGGCATAGTATTTATACACAAAAAATTAAGATGTGTTTGTCAACACCTTTGTCCAGTTAAAGCTAAACTCCCGGAGTAGGGTCAATTTTGACTTGAGGGTCATGATAAGTATAACTTTTGTAGAAAATTACAAATTCACACTACATGCCAAATATCTAAGCTCTGAGATATGTAGTTTCGAAGCTCTAAGATTTGTAGTTTCAAACAATAATATTTAAATATGTTTTCCTATAATTAAGTGACCCCGGGACGGCCAATTTTGACACTAGGGGTATATTAATATCAATTTTTCAGACGATCACAAGGTAATGCTACATGCTAACTATCTTAGCTATTGGCATTGTAGTTTGTCATAATAAGACTGAAATGTGATTTCACATACAAGAATTTATCAACTAAGTAACCTGGGTGGGGCCAACATTAACCCAAAATTTACTATTAACACCAATTTTTTAGAGGCTGAAAAGGCAATGCTACATGTCAAATATCTAAACTGTAGGCATTGTAGTTTCACCAAAATAATACTTAAGTGAATGTGTTTTCTTATAAAAAAAAACTAAGTGACCCAAAAGGGCAGGTTAAATACCAGTTATTTGTGGTCCACAAAGTGATGTTACATGCGAAATAGATAAGCTCTGGGCATCGTTGTTTCACACAATAAGTCTCAGGTGTGTTTTTCTTATGCAAGTCATTATAAATAAAGTGACCCCTTGGGCGGAGCAAATATTGAACCAATGGACCATAATTAATATCAGTTTGTATAGGCCAATAAGGTAATGCTTCATGCTAAACTTAAATGTGTTTTCCTAAACAAATCTTTATAAATCTAGTAATCCCCGGGGCGGGGCCAATTTTGATCTCAGGAAGCCAAATCCTGTTTTCTGCACACTGTCACTTTAAGTAATATTTCTGCCAAAAAGTTTTAATTTCTTTCAACCGGTATAACAGATACAGAGCGACACAAACAATTGAAATTGATAAAAAATAACTAAGTGTGATCTTGCCCCAGATCTGAGGAAGATCAAACCTGCGCTCTGTACATCGTCTCATTATGGTTAACATTTAGTTTCAATTTCCTTCTACCAGTTCAAAAGTTACAGACCAGACACAAAAAATCCTACAAACAAAATATTTGTGCAAAAGTAGTATTTGTGAAAAAGTTTCAATTTCTTTCTATTGGTTCTTGATACAAAATGACCAAGTGTGACCTTGACCTTTGCACATCGTCTCACTATGATCAACATTTCTACCAAGAAGTTTCAATTTTATTCCATCGGTTCGAAAGATACAGACCGAACACGAAAAACAGTTAACAGACGGACGGATGACCAGGCGCATAACATTATACGCGGAAATTGTTTGGGCGTATTATGAAATTTGAAATTTTTTAATACTATTAATTTGTTCTAAAGATCCATAAAAAGATACATTATCTTAGGTATAAAATATATACATATAGTTAATCTAGTAAATATAGTTAATATAATTAAAAATAGTCTTACAGATCAGAGCTTACATTCCTAAACATCGTTTTAGACAGATTCATTTAAATGTAATAAACTCAATAAATCAAATACTATGACAATAAAATAAATAAGAGGACCATGATGGCCCTGAAATCGCTCACCTGGATATAGAAACTCTCCATGACAATGAACAAGTAATATTGTAAACTATAAACAAAAGTTGATATAAAATCTAAATCTTAAACTGATATCACAAAGTTCATATTTGTAACTGAAAAAGTGCATTGGTGGTTGCTATTTTTAAGAAAAGATGTGTACATATAAGGGAAATCAATGATCCCCTGGGACCTAATTTTTACTCCAGGGCTTTTATTTGAACAAACTTGGTAGACACTCACTAGAAGATGTTTCATGCTTAATTGGATTTTTTAAAAGAAGATTTTTTTTAAGTTTTTACTATAAACATATAAGGAAAATTCTGGAAGCAAAGTGATCCCTCGGAAGCATTAATCACAACAAAATAACATAAGAATTGCAGACTCGGTTTGATTGAGTCTGTACATGAGGGATAATGAAAAAGTGCAACATCCCTCACGCCCCCTAGCACCGGCTTGAGCGGTACTCAATTCTCAACACTTTATAGTGTTGGCATCAATGATCCCGAAGGACCAGAAAATATAACAACACTGAAGTGAAGTACGGGCAACTTTTTACGGCTGCCACACGGCACTTGACACCTGCTGTTGTGAAGTACAAAATTCTGGAAGCAAAGTGATCCCTCGGAAGCATTAATCACAACAAAAATAACATAAGAATTGCAGACTCGGTTTGATTGAGTCTGTACATGAGGGATAATGAAAAAGTGCAACATCCCTCACGCCCCCTAGCACCGGCTTGAGCGGTACTCAATTCTCAACACTTTATAGTGTTGGCATCAATGATCCCGAAGGACCAGAAAATATAACAACACTGAAGTGAAGTACGGGGCAACTTTTTACGGCTGCCACACGGCAATGACCCCCCCCCCCCCCGGCAGAGCCAATTATGACCCCAGGGCTTTTATTTTAACAAACTTTGTAGACACTCACTAGAAGATGTTTCATGCCAAATATCTAAGCTCTAGCTCTTTGGGTTTTTATAAAGAAGATTTTGGCCAAGTTTTTTGTTTTGGTTGCCATGGTAACCAGAGTTCTGCATGGAATTAAATTCTTTGAACAATTTTAAAGGGTGGGTACCAAGAAATATTCTTGTTAAATTTGGATGAAATTGGCGTCGTTGTTTATGAGGAGATGTCGTTTAAAGTAAAAGTTTACGTACGGACAAATTGTGATCACAAAAGCTCACCTTTTCACTTCGTGACAGGTAAGCTAAAATGGATTTAATTATTAACTATAAGCACAAAGAAACATCAAATTGAAGTCTATGCAAAACCTTTTTTTTTTCATTTTTAAAATAAAAATCTAAAAACATAGTAAAAAAACAAATGCCGACACGAAAAATATCGGTATTACAATGTACAATATTCATGACTCAAAAGGATAAATAATTGACAAAACTGAATATTCTTAATCTGTTTTACTTTATTTGTATAACTACCTGTCGACATAATAAAATTCTCTATTCCTCTAAAATACAATACATATGAATTGTTTCCCTTTATACGTCAGGGTTTAATACACACCTCTTGTTCAAAATATAACCATATTATGGCACTTAGTTATTCACGAAATTTAAATAAAAACAATGGCACATGTAGCTAAACGATCTTTTACACATCATCGATGGTATACTTGTCACATTACATAATGCCTGATTTTATTAGTCATTCAATGAATGAATACTAAAACCAGACAGTAAGTGAAAAGTAAAATCGCATGGTTCAAGTCAAGTTATGCTCTTATGTAGTTTATTTAACAGCATTGTGTACAGGCTGAAACATTATCGAGTATAAATATTGGTTAAAATCACTGTCCCAGTTTGAATTCAAACCAATAAAAATACAAATTATTGAATAAAATACAAAATTATCAATTATCACTAAGTTAGGCAAAACCTTGGTTAAGTATTCATAATCACCTGACAAATGCTTTAGTTTACGATGTGTTAACTGTGTTTTGACTTGATAGGCAAAAATGAAAGATGACACCCAAACCAAATGATGCCCGGTTAAAATACTTTTATCAAAATACTTTTCATTATTTTCTTTTTTCGTTTTTCGAGCATATTATAATGGAAGTAGATGTAACCTTTTTCACACATTTCATAAAATATTACCACATTAAAATATTGAAAGCTTTCAGTTGCTTGAAATTAATCATTATATTATAATTTTAACAACAGTGTTACAAGGAGAATAAACCATGCAATATCTTATTATTAAACTCTGTATTCTAAATAAGTGATGCACTCACGTGCTGCATAATAACAATGAGGTAATTATAGCACTAAATCTAATGTAAAACAAACACACATATACTGTATAGACACAATAACATAAAATAAAACTTTTAAAACGAATTAATACATGAAACAAACCACCTAACGATGTCTAATATGAATATTTATTTATTTATCTTAAATTAATTATGAATGAATATGTTAAAAGTTTAAACAAAATAGCAAAAACAAACATAAGTTTTTGACAAATACATACACCAAAAGAACTTTCTACAAATAACATATATAACCCGATAATTTCTTAACAAAGAGCTTGGATTTCTGGTTACATTATAGTAAACATTAATGTCATTTCGGCTTCTTAACAAAACTTTAGCACTTGCTTATATTTACTGATAGTACAAAATCATGCACGTATACTTATTTTGTGGAAAAAAACAACAAAAACAAACAAAACACACTAGCGCACGCACACACGCATGCACGCACGCACACACGCACACACACACACAAAAGAGAAAAAAATCTACATTGGAAACTTTGCGAGATTTACCCCAGTTTTAATTTTTCGTTGATCGAATATTCTTTTGTTAAAAAGGATATAACATAATGGCCAAGTGGCTATTGTGTTATATTTGATATTTACATACTAATTTGGAACAATGCTATACTCGTAATTCTTACACATATGGCAATTAATGTTTATGGCACTTTACATCAGATAATGTCTAAAATGCACTGAAATATCTTTTGGTCCTTAACAATGAATGATTGAATGATCTAAGGAATTATCGATTATACATTACTTTTCATCTTAGAAATGACAGCGATGACAACCAATAAACAAGCAATATACATCTAATTACAAGAAAATATCAGTACATTTAAATGCAAAATTATTAGAAATTAACAATCCCTGAATACCTTTAAACTTTACTAATATATACAAACTTCAACACTTTACCACACAAGTCTTTCTACAATCTGTTTAAGTATTTGAAAGTATATACTTCAATTTAATGTACAATGCAATGTTTGTGATATATATAATAAAATTTGTGTATATACATATTAATTGTAAACACAAGAAAGAGTTTCTTGCTTTTATCTATTATTCTAATAACTCTTCAATTCAAAATTGTTTTAGGTCTTACAATTTAATATTCATACATTAAAATACATTCGTTTTATGTTACTAGTTATCAAAATGTTTTCACGTTATACTGCAAAGAACAAATGGTTATAAGGTTATATAATCCGAGTCAGTAAGTGAGGGTAATAGCAAATATAACCGACCATGTCTTTGCATATATATTCATAATACAAAATTTTACAGCAGCCGTTTATACAACTTTTATAAACATCATGATCTTCTTATAAAATTCGTAGTTACAAACATGCGGTATCATATAATAGACATTATACTAGATATGCATTTTACTCATACATAAATCTCTCGTTTTCTTCCAAATAAAAAAAATGAAATTTGACAGTGAAAGTAAAATATGATTTTCTTTGTAAAATATCAACAGCTAGAGGTAGGAACAATAAATATACATGTATATATAATAATTTGAAGGAATGTTTAAACAATATGAATGAGGTAATTGATTTTCATGTGTTTTGAATGTATAATTAATTATCAGTCGACACGTCTTTTTTCCGCAGATAATATCAGTCTTGTGTGTAAGTGATCAATTCCACTGAACAATGAGGACATTTCCGGTTTTTTCACTTTCCACTCTATTTATGACAATTGTATATGCTATTGTTACATAAGATATCTATTGTGTCTCCCTGCAAACCAAGTCATGAACGATTAAATGTCAAGCTATGTTTTACAAATCATTATCAAGGGATTCCCTGAATTGTTATTTTTACGTCTAATACTTGTATTAAAATACAATCTGAAACAAAAAGTTAGAACGCATGTCTACGTATGTAAAATCATATTGTAACGTCAATAAAATTGTTCTATTCATAGTATATCACCTTTTAAAACTCCTGAGTTTGTACTACCCGTATTTTTGTATTTTTCTTTAAAACAAAAAAGAAAAAAAAGATTCTATTCCATTTCTCCATTTTCTTCTTTAACTTGTATGTCAGTGTCATTTTCTGTCTGTTTATTTTCACCTACTTCTTCATCAAAATCTTTATTTAGTTCACCTGACTCGCATTTGTCGCCTCGCTTCTTTTCTAAAAGATCTCTTAATTCTTTCATTTCCATCTGTAAGCCCTTTAACTCGCTCTTCAATTTTCCATTCTCTGACTCCAGGTATCCGGACTTGACTTCGCGTATTTTGGTCAACTGTTTTCTATTTTCGCGACATTTTCTGGCCGCTTCATTATTCTTACGCCTCCTTTCTACATACCTGTTATCATATATGGACCTTGGATTTGTAAAACTGCGTGGTCGCATATCGGTCGAATCATTCATATCATTAATCTTGTAGTTATCAATAGATTGTCCAGACATATTTGAATGTAACAGTGCCACTTCAGATAGCTGGGCCAGTCCGTTTTGATATAAAATGGACTTATCTTCTGGAGGTAAAGTTAACAATGGATGATCAGTGGATATTTTGTGTCTAAGTTTGAGAGGTAGTGATGAAGATGCAGAATTGGGACTGTTGGAGGCACGTGAAGATGTATTGGATAATTCCCCACTAGACTCGTTCTCTGTGCTTGGTCGCTTTTTTACTAATGACAGGGGCTGTTCCTGTACATCTTGGTCATTCCATTCACACTCATCATTAGAATCGGATGAAGTAAGATCGGTAGTAGGCAGCCAATAGGATTTCTGATATGGGACTGGTAAAGAACTATTGTATGGAGAAATCTGATTGGGTGGTAGAGCGGAAGAATATGAAGGACGTACTTGATCATCCACACGAACGTAAGATGGAATAGAATCATCTTTCATGGATTTCAGATTATATGGTAATTGAGCATCAACGGTTCCTGAGAACGATTTGTCTGTGTCTGTGTTGACGTGATTCATGTAATATGACTCTGTTATGACTTGATTTGAAGGCTGACGAGAAGGCGAAACGAAGGGTGGAAATGCATGTAAGTAAGGAGATGAGTTGGTCCCTGAAACGTTCCTGTTACGAACAGGCGATTGTGGCAACGATGAATACCTTGCTTGGTGTTCAGAGGAGGCGAGTCGAGGAGAAGAAATAGTAGGCCGTATTGTTTCTGAAACAGAGTGCAAATGCCCTGGCTGTTTTCTTTCTCGTGCTTTCTGTTCTGTCTCTTCTCCTGTGAAAGGTTCATCAAGAGACAAACCAAACTTCTTTTTAACCAAATTAAGTTCATTTCTAACCCTACAGTTTTCTCTTGTTAAATCCATAATTCGGTTTTCAAGAGCCATGTCATGAACCCTTCGTTTTTCTCTAGACCTCCGTGCAGCTTCATTGTTCTTACGCCTCTTTTCCCAATAACCATCGTCTTTTTTGTTCTCAGGAATAAATTCCCTCTGCTTTCGGCTAGGAATATATCCTGGAGGATATGAATCTTCGTCGTAACTTCTGTAACCCTTGTCAGATGAGGACGGATTCACTACACATGTTGGTAAGCTTGCTCCTTTCTGAGATGTAGTATCCATCTCAGAGTTAGGCGAGTTTGACATGTACAATGCAGTTTTGTATTGATTTGAAACGTTCTGAATGTCCATATTGAATGCTTGTGAAATATTCCCTGAGAATGAACTTGTTTGGTATGACGTATAGACAGAAGATGGTGGCCTACTATTTACTTGGTGTGGCCGCTCTGCAAGCATAGCAGTTATAAGTCTAGAGTTAGCACTAACACTTCTTGAAGTGTCCAACAACCTGAAAGTAGACAATAAGTACATCATTAACTCAGAATATTTTAGGCACAAATAAGCATTAAAACTACTTCTAACATTTTCCCCCCTTTTTTCCACTTCATACTGCATGATACGCAAGAACATTCTGTAAATAACAACACGTCAATTTTGATTTATGTACAAATAATTCAAGTTGATTAATCTGATTAATGAAGACTTCTCCTGAAAATAAAATAAATGCAATGAATAGTAAGAACACTTCTTATATTATTGTCCGCAATATTTCATACAGCTGTATATTAGTCAAGTTTTGCAATATTATTAAAATGACATGTTTGCAGTATATGTCATAATTGAAATGTCAAGTTTCAGTTCACGATTGTGATGATACTTTCAGCTACAATAATGCGTAGTATTGTTATTAACATATAATTGAAGGAAATGACTATTTATCAATATGTATGAAGTTGACTGTTGAACTTATTTTTTTATAATACTTCTTAGAATTGTTTACTTTTACGGCGGAAATCTTTAATGACACTTTTCTTTAATTGTTCCCATTCATCCAAGTTCACGAGCGATTGTAAATGATCTCTCTGAATATAAAAAAGAACATTCTAAATTTTGCGTTTGCATCCGTCATTCTTTAACATGTTGACATGAGCTCTCTTACTTATTATTTATTATTAATGTTAAGTTTAACAGTCATTCTCAGATTTTTTTTGTCATTTGTAATGCAAAGCAACTTGCTTTACCTGCACCACAAATGGTAATAGGCTCTCTAGGATAAGAGGAGGAATATCGAGTTCCGACTGTGGCGTGCCGATTTTTCGTGTGATTTTTTTCTGTATATGATTTTCCGCTAATGCCTTTCTTTCTTTCTTTTACCTCGAACCAACACAGCATATGCCATGTGGCGACTTTCAAACTGTACTGGTGGAGGAAGTCCGTGATTTATTTCAGGCACGAATTTACACCTGAGTAGAACCAGCGACGATAAAATGCACAGCGGCGAGGGGCAAGTGGTAGGAAGTCAACGACCTTAACCACTCGGCCACGAACGCTCTAAAGAATATCAAACAACGACAATTTAAAGCATTGTAAGTTACAACATGGTTGTCGCCTCATTCGTCGTATGAATTGGAAGTATATACATGCATTCTAAGAAAATTCCAATACCTCTTATTTCAATATGAATAAACAGTTTATGAGCTTAGCATCGATAGATTTATACAACGATAAACAGAAAACATCTATATCATATTACATAACAGTAACCGCTAGGTGTAAAAAGAACTTCTCCAATGTAAACACGATTTATTATTAGTATCGATGACATTGGACTTGAAAATGGACAGTGACGTCACCTTTTATAATTATTTTCCCGCATTGGCATGATGATTTGATGATTAGCAGGTAATCATTACATTATTGTAGTCATAAATTTGTATAGAAAATCATGAGACAATTTTTGTTTTCTCTTGAAAATACACACACACAAAAAATGTATTGACTTTTGCCTATTTTGTTTGTAACAATTTACCTCCCTTGAGACAATTGACGTATTCATTCATATTCGACAAAATTAATGTAAACAGCCAACTCATTTTACAAAATAAAATTTTTTGATCCAGTGTTTATTTTCTGACATAATATTTTACTGTAATAACTGTTGATTTTTAAGCTTAACCACCATTAAATCATGTTTATGAGCATTGCATAATCCGATATTCTACAGGATATATTTCAAAACTGCACGTAAACAACTACATAAATAATTTGTTTCTAATTATATATTACGTCATTTTTATATTGGTTGTGGCAATCCTTCTGTTTTGCGGTCAATAGGGAGTTCAATGAGTGCAAAGAATTATGTATGACGTATAAAAGATAAGAGGATTTCAGCGCGCAATGTGTTTACCAATTATTCTTCCGCGTCCATTGTTTCATCTTAAGTTATAAATATTTACAGAGATAAATGAAATATCTATTGTTTATTCTAAGAATCGTAACCACTGACTCAACTATACAACAATCAAGTAATCATCATCCTTAATATTATATTGTTATTAAATTCATTCAAGGAATCTTTTGGAGAAAAAATATTATACTTTTTCCTACATGAAGAACAAAACAAGTTAAAAGAAATAAATTTGAAAAAATATACCACACTGATGCTTCTATATTGATTTACGATTGTTCATGAGTGTATTCTAATATGTTGACTTAGAAAGACGATTGGCAAAATCTAAGCAAAAAACAAATATACAAAAAGCATGTAGCCTCATGCCTGTTTACAAAAAAATGTGATTTTGTTGACAATAACAAAGAGGTAACCTGAGAGGTTTTCTACATAAATTTTCCTTTAATAGGGTCAACAGCAAGGTACCTTATTCTAATGACGTAAATATTATAATCCTATAGATCGAGCAAAGTAATAAACAGGAAAGAAATTGCAATATATATTATACCAGATTACGATTTTACATAATCTTATTAGCTTTAAGCACAATGTTTTTTCATAAAAGTGTGAAATTCAATATCTATTTCTTCTTAATGTTGGTTTCTATACATCACAAGCAGTTACCAGGTTTTGTTTTTTTTATCTTATTTTGTTTTTTGTTCATTATCTTGTAAACAACCTTTTTTGTTTTGTAAAGAGACCTCAAACACATGTTGATCTTAAAGTGAAAAGAAACTTTAGCTAAACAGCTACTTTGAATGACGAAACATTTGTACAAAACATCATTCACTTCAAATAAAGTATACCATAAAAGTCATAAGTTGTGACACGTTTCTGTATCAGATGTTTTCTATATAACCGTAACTTTGTTTTTTATATCCATTTATGTATCGAACAAGCTATACTTCAAATGTTTTATATGTATATCTTTTTAATTGAGAAAACATGTTGCCTATAATACACTTTCACCTTGAAGCTAAATAAACAAAAGTGATAAGGCAGAGCGACGTTCACAGGACCACTGATTAGGTACCAAGGATGGCACCGAACAAAATACAGGAGGGGGCATATAGGGCGGAATATTGAAGGGCGCCAGGAGGGGAATATAGGGTGAAATAATGATGGAGCCAGGAGGGGGCATATAGGGCGGAATATTGAAGGGCGCCAGGAGGGGAATAAAGGATGAAATATTGATGGAGCCAGGAGGGGGCATATAGGGTGGAATATTGAAGGGCGCCAGGAGGGGAATATAGGGTGAAATATTGATGGAGCCAGGAGGGGGCATATAGGGCGGAATATTGAGGGGCGCACATCGGAATAGGTTTATTTGACTATGTGCTGTCTACAGATTAAAAGCACGAATAATTATTGTTCTTTATCTTAAGTAAGGTCTTGCTAGTTTACTTAGGACAATTATGTATCGATTTTCATCTGATAAAAATATTAACAACGTATTCATTTTACTAACAATAGTAGATGAAATCATCATTTGATATGAAAGATGCTATAGGTGTCGGGGATTATTAACTTGCATTTGACAACGTTTTAAAATTGGCATGATTGGATTTATGAAACTGTAATACATACAATATAAATCATTTTATACATTACAGTGAATCGAACAAGTTAGGCAATAATTAAAACATTAATAAATAATTATGATTCAATGTGAGAAACATTTAAAAGAAAAAATAATTAAATAAATAAAAATAAAATAAATAGATAAATTAATAAATAAATGAGCCATATTTAGGACTGATGTTACGTTGAGAGGAGGAATGATGCTCTACATAGGGAACTAAACAGACGACGGACGGACAACGATGGGGGGACGACGGACGGACAACGATGGGGGACGACGGACGGACAACGATGGGGGGACGACGAACGGACAACGATGGGGGGGGACGACGGACGGACGGACAACGATGGGGGGACGACGGACGGACAACGATGGGCTGGCTCGGTAGTGATTATTTCTCAAAGGGAACTTACTCTCTAATGAGTTTTAGATAAGTGAATTGTCAGTTTTTAATCCGACATTAAATACTAAGTCTGATACTCATTGTATCGCTTTGAGTCGAACGTTATTTAATTTACTCAAAACTATTTTCTTTGGTCCGTTCAAACTAATGAATACAACGAAATTCAAAAGTAAAATTTATGTCAATATTAGATCTATTAATATTTATTGCGATAAAGCTTTAAGTTGCCCGAATCCTTACTCTAAGCATCATTCAAAACAAGAACGATAAAAATGATTATATTACAATTAAAATAAAATAAAATTAACAAACAGTATATATTCAAATCTACTGTTTTATTGGTTTTATATTACATTTAAGCAGTACCAGCAGTGTTATTTCATTACGTACTTTAACGCGCATGATGATTCCATCACAAGAACGTGTCTCATCTCGTGTAACCTCATCTATGACGGGGTCATTATTGGAGTACATTTCCCGCTCTAGTGGAATTGTTTACGATGGAACAAATCGATATATTCCTGCGGGTTCCGTATGTTCTCTTAATGGCAGAGGGGGACAAATGGGAAAATGTTTTCGTAGGACGCAAAACACATTGTTACAATGTTACAAGATTTTCGGTTTTGTGTATATTTTATAATTAGAGACATTGAATTTAAAGAAAAACTGTTTAATGATTTGTCCGAAATATAATAGTTTAAAGACAAAATACTTGAAACATATTATAGATTTTCGTAAATATGTTACACTTATGAATAATTATATTGTTGATTGTTCACGTTTAAGTGAAATTAGCAATGCATATAAAAGAGGTTTTAAAATAAGGAAAAAAATTGTACAGTTCAACAATGTTTTGAGTAAATATATAATGTACAGTTCAACAATGTTTTGAGTAAATATATATGGTTTGATGTTGTGTTACCCAATGTGTATGTGTTATATTTAAGAAATAATATATCCCAAACAGTGATTTTATCGCTCAATAACATCACTGTTTGGAGTTCGGATGCGATGAATTATATCACGAGGGCGTAGCCCGAGTGATATAATGATGCGCATCTGAACGACAAACAGTGATGTTTTCAAGCGATAAAATCACCGATTTGGATATATTATTTCGATTCTAACACGACATCAACAAATAAATGCTAATAATAACAATAATATCAGGTACGGCAGCATTTATATGTTGATGTCGTGTTAGGATCGAAATAATATATCCAAATCGGTGATTTTATCGCTTGACAACATCACTGTTTGTCGTTCGGATGCGCATCATTATATCACTCGGGCTACGCCCTCGTGATATAATTCCTCGCATCCGAACTCCAAACAGTGATGTTATTGAGCGATAAAATCACTGGTTGGGATATATTATTTCTTAAATATAACACACACTTTCGGTTCTTCTATGTTCAATAGGGAAAAATGCGGGTCGTGTTAGAATTATTATTATAAATTCACATGTGTGTGTTGTTTTGTCTTGGTGTAGGTTTGTAAATTTTCAAAGACCTTATGATGTCGATTGCTTAATAAAGATTGATTTATTTATTGTTTTTCTTAAACTATATAACATTTGTACCTTTAAAGATCCCTAGCAGGCTTATTTATAAATGTGCATAAATATTTCTTACGGTTTTCACTGCATAAAATAACACAAAAAATATTTTAATAAAGAAACGTTTCACAAAACCTTATTACATCTTCATCACTACAAGTTCGAAAGACTGATAAACATAATTCATTTTTTAAGGAAACAAATACAACAGACATTGACATTAAAATCCTTTTTGTGAGATAAAAGAATCTATTATTTCTTATACTGTGCTTAAATTATTTATCACTAAAAGCATAAAATTCAATAATTAAACTTCTTTATTTGTGTAAAAATAAAGCTTTTCAACATGTTACATCTATACAGTCAACATTTTCTAAATTATAACCAATAAGATAACACATATTAACAATACAGTAAAAGAGCTTTATTTATTTATAACAATGTTAACATCAATACACAGCCTATAGATTTGTTTATCAATTTTATGATGCACATCAATTTAAAAAGTCAAACTAAAAAAGTCATTAAATATATGATATATACATGTGATATTATAACTTTTGTACTGAGATGCAAACTTATCATTGGTTACAAAAGTAATAATTTTGTGCTGCAAATTTTATACTTTGTTGATTATATATTATACACAACGAAATTCTAAAATGAATGGCTTAGTCATTATGCAGTCGAATTATCAAATGATGGTTAAACATGCCTTAAATTGTATGAGAGTCAGTATAAGATGTTTTCATATCTATAAATGTGTAACATACTATCATTTTATTTTAATTTCATTATTCTTTTTTCATGATTTATGCTACATATTTTTTAAATACTAATTAAATGACATTGCAAAAAAGGTATGATACCTTCTGGTACATGCGTTTATCAGATCATAGGCTTCTTATTTGAAATCTTATTGAAATATAAATGAGTTAATAATAGTGAACTAGTTTAATAATTATTCGATAGTAACAATAATATAAATGAATAAAGCTCTGATACTGTCTTAATGTCTTATTTACATCTGTTAAATATTTTGTTATAATTTAGGAAATGTTTTACTGTACAGTATAGATGTTACATGAAAAAAAAATACTATATTACTAACTAACTGTGTTGGTGCAGGTAAAACACAAAAAAGAAGAAAAAAAGAGAGCTAAACATACAAAATAAGTACTCACAAAAATAAATACATATTATTCTCAATTTCCTTTGCACATATAAGTAGTTTCTGAAATATCATCATTTTATAGATCTATTATATATTCTCCTGTCTTATTATAATATACTATATTTTATAAAATACCGCTAATGTCTATTCCTTGCCGCTGTTCCTTTAATATCTTATTAATTTTCCTAATAAAAATAGCATTTTTGTTATCATCAGTGTGTTACCATCTTAGGAAGATTTTCATTTCAAAAAAATAAAAAAATAAATTAAAAATTTATTAAATTTATACATACCCCATATTGTTATTTTCAAAATTTTCTCTATTCTCATTTTCCGAATATCCGATTAACGTTTTTTCAAGCAACATACTTTTTTAATTAATTTTCAAATGTGCCTTTCCAATAAATAAATTACAAAAATATGCATGACTCCAATAAGTGATTTTTTGTCGTTGGAATAGGCCTCATTGTGTAAACAATAATGACTAGAAGTGAGCAGATAGAAACAAACAACATGTTGTGAGATATTGTCTTCACGTGATATCAGAGCATGCGCAGTCCAGCTGTAGCGTATTACCGATATAATATATATATAATTATTATTTTATATATACAAACTTGTGTCAAGACAAGTCCGATATTATTATTTTCACCTTCACTGAATAAGTGTAGTAGCTACGATCTCGCGCTTGCTCTCGGGGTGTCTATAAGTCATTTAAGGTTAACACTAAACCTGTAGACCGCAAATTGACCTCAACTGACCGATGCAAATTGTTCGGCGGTCATGTGAGGCCAAGGTTTTCATGTACATAAATCAAATTGAGTTAGTTTAAATTAACGTTCAATTTCACCCGGTAGATAAAAGGTTATTTTTCTTAACTTTAAGGTTGATTGTGTAATGTATGAAGAGCATGTTTAACACACGGATATTCGAGTTAGGAAAATAGATAAAGTTATAGATAGCAAGTCGTAGGTACATTGACATAGTTTAACAAGTGGTTAAATAAGTTTTGGCAATTGTTCAAAACTTAACTTTACCAGTTAACGTACTTCACTGGAAAAAAAAATTAAAAAACATACACGTTTAACAACAACGTGGATCTTTTTTTGTATTATTAAACTTCATTCATAAAATCTGGTGATTAAAAGTACATAATATACGTACCAAATTGAGCACGTTTTGTAGATTTCTCGTTAATTCCCAAAACGAAACATTCGAAAAGTTGATCTTAAAATTCACATGTATAATTCCCTGAGTTCTAAACGAGGTAGTTTTCTGAAATATTAAAAACAAAGAAGAGTTATATAACATAATTCAGTTAAGTTAACTCCTCTTTTGTAAACAATACTGAATCGCGTCGCTGATTCACGAATAGCATTTGAACCAAGATGACCTCGTTTTCTCCTTTTGTATGCTCTAGCTTTAATTTTCTGATATCAGTTTACAACAAAGAAACTAAAGATTAAGCATAAATTCAGTTTTAAAAGAAAAAGTCATACCTTGAAGGATATCAGTAGGACCTTTTAGGTCCCTAAAGAAATTTACATTTCTGCCCTAGCTGCCATGTTATAGTTACCTCAAATGACCTAAGCGAGCTGCGCGCGCAGCCGTGTTATATAATGTATACATACTCATACACGCTATGTACATGTTTTAACACATCAAAATACTTCTTAAATGACAAAATGTAGTCGTTTGATTTTTTTTAGCATATTTTGATTTACATGAAGTTATCGTATATTAGTTATCGAAAGTTATTTATTCCTTGATTTTTATTCATTTATTTGTTGATTTTTATCTTAAAATTAATTCAATTAAAAATACGCCATTGCACAGACAAACACTTAAAATTAAAGTTGACGCTTGACTTACAAATGCGATATATCTCATGCGATTAATATTATAAGATAATGCGTAAAATGATATATCTGCTATGGTTTAAACCTTTAAATTCTGTCAAAGTTGAAATGAGCCCTGCCTTGGTAGCTACATTTTTTTACCCCCGCAAGCGCCCCTGATGATCGTTATTGGATAAAAGTGGATGATTCAAGGCCACAAATGCTGTTACAATATTGAATGGCTTTACAACTTCTTGCCTACACACTAATATCATACAATATTCACAACAATATTTCTCGCGCATGCGCTGAAAATAAATGAGAAATTGCGAAATGTTAAAAACAATCTATTACGACCGTGACTTAGTCAATAACACACGCTACATGGGATAGTTTTATACTTAGGTCATATTACTAAAATTGTCATGAAAATTGGCACGTACACAAATTGGCGATTATATAACTAGGTTATATTTTGATCTTTTCGCACAAAAAAGATTAAATATGTTTTGACACTACAATAATCTGAACTTTATTTTTTGTATGACATGATATCAAATTTCGCAACACTTACAGTTGACTTAAACTAGATAAACTGTTTAACATCTCTGTATGTACATAAAAATATTCTGATTAGGTTACAAAGAGAATGCTGTCACAATGTTAAGCGGCAGTATCAATAATACAAATTATATAGTGTCATACGTTTTACAATAAACGAAATTACCAATCCAACATATTCACATATTCAAATCTAATTCCTAATGAGAAAATTGTTTCGTTTGTGGTTAATTGTGAGTCAAATGAAATACGTGTATTTAATATCACTATATATTCGCAATTTTACAATAACAATACTTTGTTAGATACAAGTGAAATTTCATACATTTTTGTAACCAAGACAATAACGTTATTTGTACTTAAAATTATTCATCATATACTCTAGTTCAGGAATGTATTGATATTTTTTATTTACGCTGGTTCATGAATTCGTTATTATTTATAGAATACTTTAGTTCATGAATTCGTTATTATTTATAGAATACTTTGGTTCATGAATTCGTTATTATTTATATAATACTTTAGTTCTTCAGTTCATTCAGAAATATTTACGTTTGTAAAGATAAAATACATGGTCATCTTTCTCGTAATATCGCTATTCTATGTTTAATTAAACAGGTATTACATCTTCGAACAATTATCACATAACAATCATATAGGTATTTGGGGTACATTGCACCCTTTGTACAGTTCATATATAATCAAAGTCAAATATTTTATTTGCAAATATAGTTCAAACTTCATAGCTGTACATCAAAGGACAAGAAAGAAGGTCACATCATCAAAATCTAGGTCACCTGATATCAAAGTTCAATTTTACAACTAAAACTGTGCACATGGTCAAAATTTCATTGCTGTACATCAAAGGACAATAAAGTAGGTCCCCTTGGGCAAGGCAAAATTTTGGACCCAAGGTTTTAATTCAAAACAATCTTGATGCAGGTCCACCAAACAACGTTTCATGTCAAATATCTAAGCTGTAGCTTTCTCCCATTCAGAAAACATTTGTTTTATTTTCTGTTTTTACTATGTGTACATAATGAGAATCACTGCCCCCGGGCAGGGCCAATTTTGACACCAGGGGAAAAATTGGAACAACTTTTGTAGAGGACCTATCAATGATATTATATAGCAAACATCAAAGCTCTATGCCTTGTACCTTCAGACAAAAATATTTTTTATTTTTTTACTATATGTTATATGAAAATCAATGACTATAATTTGAACAATCTTGGTAAAGGTTAACTTCGCAACGTTTCATGCCATATATTTAACCTCTAGCCTTTTTAAATTCGGAGAAGAAGATTTTTCAATTCAGAGAAGAAGATTTTTCAAGTTTTTACTTTATACATATAAGGAAAACTTTCGCCTCTGGGGCAGAGCAATTTTAACACCAGGGGAAAAATTTGAACAACGTTTGTAGAGGACCTATGGATGATACTATATAGCAAACATCAAAGCTCTGTGCCTTGTACCTTCAGACAAAAATATTTTTTAATTTTTTACTATTTGTACATAATGAAAATCAATGACCCTTGAGGGTGGGGCCAATTTTGACCCCAGGGCTATAATTTGTACAATCTTGCTAGAGGTTCACTACATAATGTTTCATGCTAAATATCTTAACTCTAGCCTTTATATAGTTTTTACTATATACATATAAGGAAAACCTATGGGCCCCGGAGCGGGGCTAATTTTGACACTAGAGGCAAAATTTGAACAACTTTGGTAGAGTACCTATAGATGATATCATTTAACAAATATTAAAGCTCTCAGCCTTGTACCTTCAGACAATAAGATTTTTTGATTTTTTACTATATGTATATATTGAAAATCAATGACCCCCGGGGCGGGGGCAATTTTGATCCCAGGGTTATAATTTGTACAATCTTGCTAGAAGTTCACTTCACAATGTTTCATGCAAAATATCTAACCTCTAGCATTTGTCAATTGCTAGAAGAATTTTTTTTAAAAGTTTTTTCTACAAGTTTTTACTATATACATATATGGAAAACCAATGACCCCCGGGGCGGGGCCGATTTTGACCCCAGAGCTATAATTTGAAAATCTGGGTAGAGGTCTACCAGACAATGCCTTATGCAAAATATCTTAGCTCTAGGCCTTTTGGGTCTTTACAAGAAGGTATTTTTAGTTTTTACTAAATGTACATATAGTGAAAATTAGTGACCCCCGGGGCGGGGCCGATTTTGACCCCAGGGCTATAATTTGAACAATCTTGGTAGAGGTCTACCAGACAATGCCTTATGCAAAATATCTAAGCTCTAGGCCTTTTGGGTCTTTACAAGAAGATTTTTTAAATTTATTCTTATAATTCCTTTTTGTTGCCATGGCAACCAGATTTCTACATGGAATGATATTCTTTGAACAACTTTAGAAGCCCTTCACCCAAGGGTCAATCCTGCCAAGTTTGGTTGAAATTGGACTAGTGGTTTTTCACAAGAAGATTTTTAAATTCACTATATAATCTATATAACGCACACGCACACGCACACACACGCACACACACACACACACACACACACACACACACAGGTGAATCGCTATATGCCACCGCATCGCAGATGCTGCGGGGGCATAAAAAATATATAGATAATTATACCATCGACAATAATTATTATAATACTAGCAGATTTAGAAACTTATATAATTATTATAATACTAATAACAAATACTAATAATTATATTAATCAATAATATAGTAATTTCTTAGAAAACCTTCTTGCAAATAGGTGACCAATAAATAAATAACCCTCTGGCAGCGAAAGGGCTAAGACCAGTTTTATGAGGCATTATGGGTCTTTAAAAGATCACGTTCAGCCGTTCATAAACAGAACAATTCAATTTACTATTATAACCTGCTAAAAATAATTAATAATTATTAATAAAATAATTAATAAAATAATAAATGATTAGCCGTAGGTAACCAACATTATAGAGCCAGGGCAGACTGCTCAATTTTTGTATTTTGACCTTGATTTGCAAATCTAGAACGGGCTAAACCATTATATAAATCAACAAACACGTATATTAAATAATAACACTTAACAAAGCATTATTTGTTGATACAGATGAATATGTCGCTTGTATGTTTAACACATCTATTCATTTTAATCCTTAACCTCCTTAATTTGAAGCCTGGTCGGATTGTAAAACGAATATGACTCTCTGTTCTGGGATTAACATTGCTTTAAGGGGAAAAGAGATTTTTCGGATGATTAGATTAGCATTTTGTTTTTCAACTTCATGATGTTCTTTTGTGTCCGATATCAATTTGTCATTTCTTAAAATATAACGACTATGTACTCGTATAAGGTTATTTTCACTTTTTCAGTTGTGAAAAACACAGGTCATTAGGCGCCACAAGACTACCAAGACCTGGAAAAAAACATGCTACAGTGCGTTATCACTGAAATATTCAAATGAGCTATGGTGAAATTTAAGTAATTAGCCAGTAATTATAGTTACATTATTTCCTCTCAAAATAAATTTGCGTGGCTAAAGTTCACAGATCATAGTTTCAAGTTTATCTTGGTGGAAGTAGCTACGCTGTTCGAAATGAAATTTGGAGGGATTTTCTGCGTGTGATGTTCGTCGGCAGCATAATCATGTCGAAAAAAAATGTTTGCAACAGCAGCAAATATTATACAGAATATAAATCATATTATTGAAAAGATAAAAAAAATATAAATGACCACGCAAACATTTTTTATATGCAAAAATAATGCATTCACATTGTAAGCTAAGATAAACAATTTGACAGTGAAAGCAAATTTAATTTTTTATGTTAAAAGCCTTATTTCTTATTGGACCTTTATAACAAATAACATTCTAGTCTGACTGAGAACTTACGCAAAACTGACATAGAAATAACGCGAAATATAGGTTTACCACGGCTGACTATCTTTTTGGAAAATACTCTTTTTTTATATGTTGGAAACATGAAGATTTTTTTAGCATAATTTTGTTTTTTGATGAGATTATAAACGTTTTTGAGGTTAATTTAGTCATTTAAAAAAAAAACCTGGAAATTATTTTGTTCATTTTACGAAAACATTAATATTTTAAGATATAATATTTAAGGGGTTATTTCATGTCACTTTTTAAAAAGAAGAATCGTTTCACTGCAAATTTGCTAACAACTTGGATATCAATAATTTATACATTCTTTAACCCAATACTGAATGAGCATTTTGTGAAAAATGGCTGTTTTCATTGATAATGCCTCCTGTTACAAGTTCAAATTGCTACAAAACTATAAAAGATGCTTCAATATCACCAAACTTGGCACAAATGTTGACTGGACCATAGCCTCTGTAACGGTATGCTCAATTTAAAACTTCCTGTTACCATGGAAACGAGGGGGCATCTCAAAATTGCCAAATATCACTATTTTGCGTTGATTTTTTCCATCAAAACTGATTTCAAAGTGCTGCAAATTCTCAATGGCAATGGCTT